AAGGATTTGGTTTACTGTGTACGTTTGACTGTTCATTGTCCTGACTGAAATAGATTTCTGATCCACTGGTACTACAAATACTGGCTTTGTATGCAGTGATAATGTATGTGGTAATTCATGCTTTTTATTTTTTCATTACAATTACATTAATTCATTGCTTGTTAGTGTAGCTAAACATGTTCTTAAAGTGCAGTATGTTCAGAACTCAATTGCTCAGATTTTAACCAAATATCTGATAATGCGTTATCTGTTTTAAACTCCTTGCACTAGCTTCATCTGCATATTTTCCTTCATGATATCCATTTTGTGAATATCTTTCAGATTAAGATTAAAAGTACTGTTGTTTGACTGACCTTGGATAGTGTGTGTGCAATCTACATCAGTAAACTTCCTTATATCCAGTACCTGCATATGATTACTGATCTTCAGACTCTGGCCTTCTTTCAGTTTCTACTTCGAGTCTCCAAACATTTGGAGTGAACATGTTTTCAGTTCTGATGAGCCAAGAGTTTGGAGTAATCCCCCAGTATGAAGTATATCAGATCTTGCAAGTCAGTCAGCACTTTCAAATCCTATCTTAAAACTATTTTTTTTCCTTTAGGTGGTAGGTTTGTTTAATCTGTGTATAGCTGTCACTTTTGAGATTTGTGCATTTACAATCTAGATGTTTATTTATACCCACTAAACAAAGATGTTACCAGTGAACTACTAATCCACAGTTTGAAAACAATATGAAAATATTGAATATGAGAGACAATACTTTTAATCAGTTAGTTAACAATAAAATATTTAATCAATTTAATCAATCAAATATAGACATTAGACACTAACATGCAGATATTTTGATATTGTTTGAAATGTGACTAGTAAAATTACTTATGACAACATTAATTGCAAAATAAGTTCACCATTTTAAGTTTACATATTATTAATGATTAATCCAAGACTGTTCCTCTTTAACATTTACTCCCAGCTGGACCATGAACAGTAGGCACACTGAAAAATATTGTCTGTCATGAAATGTTGTCTACTTAAAATCTTTTTGTAAAAAGAGCTCCAGAAATGGGCCTTATTACTGTGCTTGCCTTCTGCTGTTAAATATCCATGTGTAAACACAAACAGATGGACTACAATTGAATAATTTATTCAATCAATCCCTGGATACTCTCAGGTTCCAAGTTTAAAAATATTTGATTGCCATTTACCACACAGTGCAAAAATTTAGGATAAGAAAAATGAATAAAATGAACTATAATTAATTTTCATTGATTAAACATTTGTATCTTCTCCCACCAGTCAGCTGTAGTTTTATTACTATTATTCCTGTCCTAATTTATATTACTGGAGTCTATATTTTCCAAGGTGCTTAACAACAGAAAACCTTTTACAAACTGTAAAAACAAACAATGCACACATTGTTAAAACCAGTTTCTGTTAATGCATAAACGTAAAAGTTGTCTGTATGATACAGTATATCATACACCAACAAAGGCAGTGACAACAGTTATTACAGTTTTGTTTGCATTAAAAATATATTTTTCTTCATTATATTCAATATGTAAATGTATTTAATTTCTAATATGTGACTGTTGATCATCAACATTAAACCACAGTGCAGCTTTATCAAAATGATAGGGAGCAAACAGTTTTTGTTTAATTTGGATGCTGCTATGGAATAAGTCCAAGCAATATCCACAACTCCATGTTTTTGGACAGTCTCTGCTATACACATCTGGTGCACATTAGTCTGCAAATCAAATGGAGTAGTCATTTAACAGAAGCTGCATCAGGTACAGAGATGATAAAGCTCGGCTATGAAATGCTATATGCTATACTTAATATTCTAATGTTGATTCTGGATTAATTAGTCCATCTGGTGCTCATTATATTGAAAAATCAACTCCTTTCCTTTTACTTAATGCAGACTCTTTGATTCAATAATACTCGGTATCAACAATAAGAAGCACAGTGCTGACACAGGTCAGATAGCACCGGAGGGACTGGAAGAAATTTGATCATTTTTTTTCCAACACTGTCACAAGCTGTAGTCAGGCTCATTTATCTGTGAGACCTCCTTTGTCTTCCAACCCTCGGCTTTAGGAATTGGCTCTGCAGCCAAAAAGATTGAAACAAGCTGAGACCAAAAGGCAATATGTGCTAATTAAACACACTGAGGTTTTAGCATACAACGTGTGCTTCTGTATTCAGCACATACTGACGCTAAGCATGGTATTTCAGTATTTCCACAATATCCGTACAAAAGGGCAATGTAATCCATGAACACTGACCCAGCTAATTATCAACTTATAATATATTGTAGTCTTATGTCAGAGAAAATGGAACAAAAACAAGAATAAATCATCTTGAAATGAAATTAATATTACACTTTATAGCAGTAATTTCCTTAATACTATTTTGCTTTCTAACTTACATTTTAGTTAGTGATAGTATAATTTAATTTGGGGTTTAGGGAGTGCAGTTACTTTCGTTAAAGTCTCATTTTTAAAAAAGGCAAGTTAATTCGAATCCGCCTAACCCCAGTGGCACTTAACCAGTTGTATGCTACCATTAGGGGAATCCCAGTCAAAGTCAAGTAATGACACATCACAGACTTGAACTGACAATTTGTGGATTCAACCTACAAATTGCACCTATATTTTAGCCATACTTGCACAGCATATTGCTGAGATCCCAATTTAACACAGAGATGTGCATAGGAGATCTGTTGAAGGACAGTATGCAAATTGATCAAGATACCACATGAGGTTTGATCTTGAAGTAAGCCAGGGTATTGACTTCAACAGCTGGCTGGGCAGTTTGTTCCACAACCTTTTGTGTGAAGAAGATTCATCTGCTCTCAGATTTAATCTATAGTTTCCACATCTGTTGCTCATGTTTATTGTGGATCCTGACTAAATCTTATTTTATTTCTTCTTCATATTGCCTAGAGGAGGAAAATGTGTCAACATAAACATATAAATCTTTCACATAACTACTAAAGTTTCTTCATAAGTTCTCCCATCTTATATTTACCGTTTAAATATTTGCTTCCTACATTTGTTAAATGTTTGCATAGAATATAAGTTTACTAACTATATCATTATTTAGATCATTGATCATCGCGCTACTCTATAGCCTGATTTTGTTTGTTATGCTTGGTGTAGAAAACACAGGCCTTATCCATCCAAGGAAATAGTATGAGAAGTTTGAAATTTCTTAATTAAACTTATAGTTGCTCTGAATGACTTGCATTTGTTGTTACTCACATTGTATAGCTTGATTACAAACAGGTGGGACTTCTTGTCAATTCAGTTGGATTGTGCAGATAACTATATACTGTACATCTGTTGTGTGTCAAACCACTTTGCATGTGCCTCCAGGCTTGATGTATAATGGTTCACTTGAGACCAAGTTTACCTTCACAGTGACTGTCTTCTACAAAATCCCAAAACTCTTTATTTGATGGATCAGTGTCAACAGTATGCCATAGGATTAACTCAGTGTGATTGCAAACAAATCTTCCTCTTCTTCCATACATCCAATTATCTATTTTATTGATATTTGTTGTTGGGTGTTTTGTTTAGTTCACTGCTCTTGGGCTTTGGGTTTGAATCCAGCCTGGAACACCTTTTATGTGGGGTTTACGTTCCCACTGTGTTTGCAAAAAATACTTTATGAGCATGGCTATTTTAATTTGTGTCTTTAATTTGTTCCTGTGTGTTTGTTCCAAGCTGGACTAGTGTTCCATACAGAATATAGTCCCATTTTGCACATTTGTCTGCTGGATTAGCCTACAGCTCACTATGCCTAGTATGATGTGCTGTGTACAATGGATGGATGACTTGCTTTTGTTTTGGTCTTACATACTTACTGTATGTTTTTTTGCAAACATGATTTTCACTTTTTTGTTATCCCGAAGTTCATCCATCTAAACACCTTCATAATTCTAAATACTTGAGATTCACTTCCAGTCTGGATCATAGCCCATTTCTACAGTTTTTCCCCTTCTTTGATGGATATTTATTTCTAGTACAATGATGCATACAAATAAACATACACTGACAAAAACATCATGCAAGTTATGAATTAGTCTTTTCTAGGAAGGCAAACTCAAAATTAATGATACTGACCTGAATGCCTGCAACCATCATGAATCATAATGATTGGTGATGCTTAAAACCCTATATTTAGGCATATTCAGAGATGATGCCTGTCTTTTGTTTTGGTATTACAGCACAGTCAGGGCAGTATTTCATTTTCATTTTTCTGTTCTTTTATATTACAGAACTTAATGGAGCGATGATTTCTTTATTTCTTTGCTCCAGCAGAAGTTCCATTCTGTTAAGTAATAACAGGTTCTTTCCTATTGATCACTGAAGATGTCTAAAACTCTTTAGGGTATTTTTATAAAGATGCTGTGTGAATATGACATTCTCTAACATTCAATATACACATAAATGCTGTTTATCAAAGTTAAGGCATTCTATGCTGAATAATTTCCCTTCATTTCATGTTGTGACTACTCTGTAGAAGCAAGTACAGTATGCTTACATATACCTGAAGAAACAGTTTCAGTTTAAAGATGTCAGTTTGAAATGAAGGTTACAGTGGATGGATACTGATTGAGAATGTTTTTTTGACATTTTCAGTGTGCTTTCTATGTGCTTATTCGGCAATCAAGTAAGGTGCTGATCTTGCTCATTGTTTTACATTTGTACTATAGATGTGTGAGTTTAAAGTTTCTTTAATTTTCTTTCATCTTTAGAAAGTTATTGTCAGGGGTTTACATCATACACAAAGTGGACATTTCTTTGATGGTTTGTGTTTCATGAATCTTTTTTCATTTAGGACAGGTTTACAATGGAGAATAGGTAAGTTGTGAGGTTATCTGCATGTCTCCATGTTGGGAAATGAAGTGGGAAGTTCAAGCAACTTCTTTAATCCATATCTGAACTCTTTCACAGTGGATTACTAATTTGTAATTGACAATTGATTGACAGGTTAATGGAAAAGATCTTTCAAAGGCCACACATGAGGAGGCAGTGGAAGCTTTTCGCAGTGCCAAGGAACCCATTGTAGTTCAAGTTTTACGACGAAGTCCTATCAGCAAGAGCCATGGGAATTCTCAGGAAGTTCAGCTTGTGGATGTATGCACACAGACAGACATCACTTTTGAACACATTATGGCTCTCTCCAAGTTAAGACCTTCAAGCCCACCAGTACCTGACATCTGTCCCTTCTTGCTTTCTGACAGGTACAGGGTTTTTTACTTTTTTACAATAAAAAAATGCTGGTATTATCATAGAATTGTCTTGATGTTATAATTCTGTTTTTCTTCAGATCATAGATCCATCTTTTAATAAGTGGTTTGTATATGTTTTAAGTAAACTGCCCACCAAAAGAATGACAAACTCAAAACACTTTTATTTTGTGCTTTACAGTATAGCAATTTGTATTTGTAATCATTATATTAATATGAATAATAAGCATAATATACTGTAATTCTTTTGATAATACTTTTAATTACCTTTGGGTAATACCTTTGATAATATGAGAGTAATAATTATTTGGACTTTGCTGTCCCAATATTATTTGGAGGATATTGTAATTTCCTAATAATACCGTGTATGAGGTTATCTGAAAAAAAAAATCAGTATGAAAAATGCTTCAGTTTACATTAAATTTCTACCTAATGATCATTTATACAACAGGTTAATATAGGTTCCCTTTAAAATTAAGCTTCAAGGATAATGAAGGCCATCCAAGGACAAGACAGGTTTATCAAGTGAATAATTATTAGCATAATTATTAGACACTCTATGGATGATTAACCAAATATACAAATCCATTGACTGTCTCAGTCTTAATGTTGTTATGTTATTAATTGGATAGGACTGTAGGACTGTGATGTAACTGTAATTGGTAGAGTATCACACCTGAATAAGGCTCCACAGCTGAAAACGTTGTGTTTCTTTTCTTCTTTTTTCGGTATAGAATAAACCTTTACTTGTTCTTTTGAAAAATATCACAATGTAGCCTCAAATGAAATTTAGTTTACTGAGCACCCTTTTAAAAGCACTTTCTTAGGAGTAGTACATACTTACAGTACATAATTCGTCACATACAAAGGTACTCTCCTGTCAATAGAAGAAGTTAAATCTTGATGGCACTCTTGCCAGTGCTGTATCTATAGATTATGCTTTTGATAATCAAGATATAAAATTGAGCATTTTGTTTGTCTGTTAATTTCCTGCAACTCCATAAAACAGCCATTACAACCTGAATATAAGTATTAAAGAGTGGGACATTAGTTTGATTTAATGGAGAGTTTACAAGGTGATTAAGAGAAAATAAGCTAATAAAAACAGGGACAGCCAGCCTCAGCATTTACGTTCAACCCATTTATCACTGCTGTCTTTGGTGTAACCAATTTGTCACATAAAATACAAAGAATTTATTCTTTCATCTGCTGTGACATGCAGAAATCCTCATTAAAGTGGATTTTAGGGTTGCAACTTGTGTTTTTTACTTATCATCATAGACACTAATATTCTATAACACTCTGTTTATAGTTGTATGCATATGTATAAAAATGGTTAAGCAAACTTGAATATAATAAAATCAATGCTCAATACTTTTATGTCATAATATGGTATAAAATAGATAGGTGAAAAATAGATGTTTGAAATTATAAATAAGTAAAAAATAAAATGTTAGAAAATCAGTTTTAAAAAGTAATTTGGCGGTTTCCCCCTTAAGTTAACAATATCACATCCATATTCTTTTTTTCAGGGTGAAACCTGTAACACTTACCAGAAAGATAGATTATCACACGTTACACCATGCAATTAATTCAAAAATGCACACTACAATTAAAAAGAGGTGGATAAACAGAACTTTGGTATTTTGATTTTAAAAAAAGTTTAAAACTCTGAAAACAGAAAATGACATGTCACTTGTTAATCAGATGAATTATATTAAAAATCATTTTAATGTGGGCACACATAAACCCCATAACATTTATCAAATATATTAATGTAGTAATTACAGTGCATGTAATGTAGTAATTACAATGCCAGCTTGTATTAATAGAATTGTTTTTTTAATTTATGCTACAATCTTCCACTGAAGAATAAATCAAATAGTACTGTCTGACTGAGTACAAAACTTCATATCATCACCATCTCACTATTTAATTTTACACCTGAAACAATGAGCTTGTGTAGTACTTAAATGATAAATGATTTAAGATAAATCAAGCAAGAAGCCAAATGTGGTATTTTAAAAGTTTTTCAGTTGCTTTATTAAACCAGAAGGAAAGAAGAGCTTAGGTTAACAGATTTGATTATGTAATTTAACATTGTCTTCTTTACTGCTTCCACGCACTATTTAGTCTAAATGCCAAGACTAAAATAAGGCATCAACAGAAATTCAGTGTTTCCAATTAAATGTTAATAGTTTATTCTTTTGTTAAAAAGAATATTGTACCCAATAACCTGGTTTCTTGTGAGAAATAGCTGGAATACAGTAGATCAATTAACTACTACCAAATCGGCTGAATGGCCTCCTTTTGTTTGTGACCTTTCTGATATTTTGAGTTCTTAATGTTCTGAATTTTCTTTTCCAGTTTCTACAGCATTTTCTAAACCTATTTATAATTTGTAAGCATGACTACAGTAGTTTACTAACAACAATATAATCTAGACAAGAGATAGCAATCAGGAAGAGCAGTAGTCATTTTGTCCTCATACCAATTCTTTAATTAAAAGAACCTTCTTATTTGATTTTTTTCTTATTCGTGTGCATTCTTGTGTAAATGAATAACACTTTAAGATTAAGTTTGGAGATGTTGATTTTAATTTAGCCACATTGATCACATACATACACAACAACTAGATTGCTGAATGCTTAATTTGACTAATTTCATGATTACAATTCACTTGTGTCACACAAATATTTTGGTAGTCAAATTAAGATATTATCCAAGGGGACCTTAATGAAACATAATCTTTAAAGTTAACTATTTTCTTGATGAAGTACTGTGAGCAATCTTTGAAAATGAGGATTTTTTTCCCATTAATATCCCTTTGTTAATACCAATCCTGGTCCGCACGACCACCAGTTGTATCAGTTCTGAGAAGTTTAAGAGTACAGTATATACAGTATTTTCAGGTTTAATAATTGTTACTTCAAAAGTATTCTAGTTCAATACCTGCTGGATCTTAAAATGTCCTATGATGACAGCGTTAGGTGAAAGTTTATCATAACAAATTCTACTCAATGTTTAACTTTCGACAACTAAAATAAGGAAATACTATATTGTAAAGCAGGAAATGTTTTTGTTAACTACTGCTCTAGCCTGTCCTTGCTTCACGTCTGACATCAAACTGTAAAAGGGAAGCACAAGCAAAAGTGGGAATTTTGTCATTTTGATCCTTTCCCAAAAATACGAATACACCCTCTATGTTTCTCTTCTCTTGGGGAGTTGACACAGAATTAGAAAGAGCCCAAACAGAACAGAATTTTCAAAAACAGAAACAACTCACTGCAGGCTCCTTTACTCACTGGGTCATATACATGCAAAAATGTCTTATATCATGCCCACACAGATTAACTTGCTCCAGTGAAATTGAAAAATGAATTGAATGTTTTCAGACCTTGTTTAATTCATTACGTTTGAACATTATATAAGATAATTTTCTTTGTTTGATTAAAATGGAATGGAGGTATCATAATAAGTACTTACATCATCAGAGGGATGCTTTCTAACATGCATTCCAACATGCAATCTAAGAACTAATCCTTCCCTTTTGTAATCTAAAGCACTATTTACAGGATGCACATCCTAAAGAATACTCCTGCTGCCTTTGAAACATTCCAAGAAAGGAAGGAAAAAAACAATTTGGTATTTTGCCACACAGTAATGTGTCAATGCATAATTGGAAAATAATTCAGTAGAAGCAATTCTATCAGTTGGCATGTGCAATCTAAATGGTGTAGCTTCAGCGAAGAGCACCCTTGATGGCTTTTACATTTCTCACTGTTTATATTTTTGAGCAAATAGATGGAAACTATTGTTTCCAACCTAAATCAAGGCTTAATTTGGAACGTGTTCTCTCTTTCCTCCATTTATAGCTGCCATTCACTGCATCCAATGGAGCATGAATACTATGAAGGCACAGAATTTCTATCCAATATGCCAGTGGATGGAGACAGGGCAGATGAGTTTGAGTACGAGGTAAGAGATTGTTCCCTGTCCTCCTTATTACTAATGTTTGACATGCTGTTGGAGAACCCCATTACAGCCCTTTACAAATCACATGCACAACCCAGTTCTAATTGGTAGTTCAGCTGAATTATTTTTGACTTTCCTGCTGATACTAAGTTGGTTTTCATTTGCTTATGCACCTACTGTATACATCTGAGTGCCCCCTAGTGAGTCAGAACCTAATAAAGACCAGGTGAAACTCTCCTTCAGTCTTTTGATGCTCATTTGTAATTCAGCATCTGTTGATTAGAGCACTGACAAGGTGTCAAGATTGCAAGGTCATAAGAATATAGTCGGCTTAGAAGTTTTAATTATATAGTTAATCAATGAGTAAATTTGAGAATTCCTAAAATGAATGAGACTAATAGGATATTAAATGTATTGCCAAAATGAAAAAAAATGGCTAACAATATTGTAAGTCTAAAATTAATGCACAATGATTATTTTAACCACATTGTGCTTACTACTCTTTTAATTTAATATTCTCAAAAGCAAAGAGGGCTATTCTACAGAGACTAACTTCCCTGCTGTAGATGTGGGCACAACGTAACTGGATTTAAATTCCAAATAATCAAAGGGACAATTATTATGACAGTATTGAGTGCACACTGGTGGTAGGCAGTAATCTCTAATCACAAAATCATAGTCATTAATTTACTGCCAAACGTGATCCAATTGCCCAAGGCAGGTCTCCTGTCTGAAATAAAGAGAGTTTGACTTGGAAATTAAATATCAGTTGAAGCCAGCCTCATTCCTGAAGTGAACAGAACAGCCTTATAAACTCGACTTGTTTAATCAATTTTACAATTTATTTCATGGATTGTTTATAAGACACCTTTTGGTTTATATTTTTCTATTTGTCTTTTTTTACATTCCTAATGATTTCTGAATGTCTATCATTATAAATAGTAAAAATATTGTATCTTCTCTGTTTTAGACATGATATTATTTCTGTAAAGACAGTCAGTTAAAAGCTAGAGATATGAATGCTAAAAGACCTTTTCATATTTTTGCATCTCTGTTTTGCTTACCTCCTGAAAAAAACGTGAGAACGGTTCTAATTGATAAATTAACATTCCATCTGAAGGATGAAAGCCTGTTGTCTGCAATTTTAAGAATTCTTATTTTAGAAACAGCTCTTCAATACTTTGTAGTCTGTATACTAATCGTTACAATCTGTTGTGTTTATTAATTAATTCACCCACAGGTGTTATCTCCTACTAGTAGCTATTAATTAAACTGTAACTAGAGGGTTCTTTGTACAAAAAGGTAATTTATTTCTGAACAGAAAAGAAAAGAGTGCAATATTTTGCCTGTGGTGTTTGGTATTCATGAATTTTAGAAGTTTCTTATTAATTTCTTATGTGTGTTTTTAGTTTTTACTAAAAAATATTTTTTTAAACATCATTGCAAATTATAATTGCAATATTATTACTGATTTTGCATTGTTGAGTGTGGTAAGCCAACTTGGAAAGATATAGAAAAAGGTTTCAAAATGAGAAATAACATTGCTCACAATTTTTAAATATATTTGGCATCAGTAAAATAAATAGTTAAAAAAACAAACAGAAATCATACTATCGGCTGTGTAGCCTTCTTCAGGTGTGAAATGTGATTTTTTTTCTTGCCTCATCATCATTCCTGTTAAAAATACCTGCAGTTCTTAGTCTCAGAACTAAAATGAAATATTCATAATTAAATCAGCAGGATAGTTACAACCCATATGAAAATGTAACGTGAATATTATTCAACACTGCAATTGGAAGCTGTAGAATGTTGGATTTTCAATTATTTGTCATAATTATCATAAGGTGGCCACTGAAAACACTGATGCTAAAGACTGTGTGCGCCTGGGGAAAGGACATCAGGTGTCTCATGTCAGTTTCTATATTTGCTCTGGATTTTCATTTTATTTATAATCATACTTTCAGTAATGCTTTCATGCCAGGCACTTCTGAAACCAAATCTCAAGCTGTCACAAGTAATGAATTTTGCAATTTGCCCAACAATTTTGCACACGTGGTAAGATTTACCCTTAACCTGAAACACAATTTTATAAATCAAGGTCTTTTTAATTTATTTTACTTTTCATAGTACCTGATTTCTGTCTTTTTTATTAATAAAGTATATCCAATCTGTTTGAAACAACAATAAGATTTTATTTTTTGGTACATATTACATTACTTTTAATACTAATGTATTACTGGAATTAGAATTTTACTAAGAAAAAGCAAATACCAGCAGGCAGTGATCATCAAAAACATATGCAGTGTGAAGCCAGCCTTGTTTCTTTGTGCGATTAATTTTGTCACTAATAAAATATTGGTTACCTGCTGGGAAGAAAAGAATCATGATAAATGTGTTTATTCAGGTCACGCTCACAACATGAATGAAGGAAGGCTACAGGAGGTAAATCACAAATGTTTATTAGGCTTAAATCTAGTATTTAATGAATCTGTTAGACCCAGTGTCATTACAAATTAAACAAAATGGCACTATATAAATGTTAGAAATATAGTTCATTTGTTGTTAAATACTTTTAGGCTACTCAAAACCCATTTTAACAAATAAAATGAAGTATTGTTTATATAACACCAATAGTACTACCTAAGACATTATTAATATTGTTATATACTGTATACTGTAGGAAAACACCTTCTCCTGTCGAACCTCATATGTCAGCAATATTGCTGAAGTAAAAATAGATTTTCAGACTGAAAAAAACATTTTCTGTTATTTGACTTTATACAAGTTGAGTAAAAATGCCTTTATTGCACTGTGGGTAACAACAGTGTACAAAATTAAAGTAGTGACAGTATTTTGAGTTCAGTGAAAAAACAGAGGGGTGTAAGGTGGGGTAGGGGGAGTATAAGAGTTTTATGGCTGTAGGAAAGAAGCTTTCTTTGAGCCTAGAGGTGCTGGCTTTTAGACTCCTAAGTCTTTTGCCCGAAGGAAGAAGAGAGAAAAGTGCATTCCCAGGGTGGTTTTGATCCTAGATTATATTAATCACATTTTGGGGAATGAGCGAATATGGTATGGATGGAACAGGAGTTCTGAACCATTGATGGCTTCAGCTATCTCCACCACCTTCTGTAGTTTTTTACAGTTGTGAGCTGAGAAATTGCCATACCAAACTGTAATATACCCACTGAGAATACTTTCTATATTGGATCTGTAGACAGTTGTGAGACTTTGCGAAAATCAGTAATATATTCAGTAATAATATTGCAATTATAATTTGCAATGATGTTTAAAAAAATATTTTTTAGTAAAAAATAAAAACACACATAAGAAATTATTTAAAATTCATGAATACCAAACACCACAGGCAAAATATTGCACGCTTTTGTGATAACTTCATCTATGTGATAGGACCAGGACAAATTGTTGATGATGTAAATGCCCAAAAACCTGAAGCTACTGACCATCTCCACAGCAGCTCCATTAATATAGACAGGGGTGTGGCCTCCACCCTGCTTCCTGAAGTCGACAACTAGCTGTTTAGTTTTGCTAATGTTGAGGGAGATGTCCTGGCACCATACCGCCAGGTCCTCAACCTCTCTCCTCTGTCCTGTTTCATCATTATTTGTAATTAGACCTACTACATTGCCATAGACCTAAAATAAACTTAAAGATGTAGTTGGAGCTAAAAACATGTCTAGCCACACAATCATGGGTGAATAGGGAGTAGATCAGGAGACTGAGCACACAGCCCTGGGGGGCTCCTGTGTTTTGAGGATCTGCATGGTGGAGATGTTGTTGCCTATTCTTACAGATTGAGGTCTGCCCATAAGGATCGAGGATCCAGTTACAGAGAGAAGTATTAAGGCCCAAGTGCAAGGGAGGTGGCATCAGCTGTGGACCTATTATGTCTGTAGCAAACTGAAGTGGGTCACGATTGTCTGTAAAGCCAGAGTTATTGCGTGCCATTACCAGTCTCTCAAAGTACTTTATTAGGAAGGAAGTGAGTGCTACAGGGAGATAATTATTAAGACACGTTACCTTATTTTTCTTGGGTACTGGAATAGCGGTGGTTCTCTTAAAGCAGGTAGGAACAGCAGATTGTAATAGTAAGAGGTTAAATATGTCTGTAAAGACTCCTGCCAGCTGGTCCGTGCAGGTCTTGAGAACACAGCCAGGTGTTCTGGCGAGGCTGGCTGCTTTGAGAGTGTTAACCCGATTAAAGGTTGATCTCCCACCGGATACAGTGACGGAGGGCATAGAGCCATCAGGGGTTGTAGGGGCCTGCATGGGTGATTCCATGTTTGCATGTTGAAAACGGGTGTAAAAGGCATTAAGCTCATCTGGGAGAAAGATGTTAATAACTGTGATTCCACTTGGTTTCTCTTTAAAGTCCATGACGGCCTGTAATCCTTACCACATACGCCAAGTATCTGAGGTGTTAGACTGTAGTTCTAGCTTGCTCCTGTATTGTTATTCTAGTTCTTCTAATGGCTTTCCAGGGGTCAAACCTGGTTTTCTTGTATAATTCTAAATCACCGGATTTAAAAGCCCAGGACCAGGTCCTTAGCATGGAACAAATTTTACTTTTAATCCATGGTTTCTGGTTGGGGAAAACCTAGGTTGTATTTGTAAGTACACAGTTGTCCACATATTTCTTGATAAAGTCTGTAATGAGTTTGTATACTAATTTATGTTGGATGATCAATGCCAGGGTTCTCATGCTTCAGTTTCTGCTTGTAAACAGGATGTAGGAACAAAGACAGGTGATCTAATTGACCGAAATGTGGATGAAGAAAAGAGTGCTAGGCATCCTTGATGGTAGTGTAACAGTGATCAAGAGGATTAGTGCCTCTTGGGGGTCAAGAGATATGCTGGTTGTATGTTGGATGTATTTTCCAAGTTGGCCTGATTGAAATCCCAGGCTAAGAAGAATTTAATGTCGAGGTTTGCAGTTTTGTGTTAATTACAATGTATAGTTTGTTGAGAGTAAGTTGAGTGCCTGCTTGAGGTGGTGTGTAAACAGCTGTAATGATGACTGAAGAAAACTCGATAGGTAGGAGGAGAGTATTCCAGATTGGGGGAACAGAAGTGAGATAGGATCACTGCATCTGAACACCATGAAGATTTTATCAGACAGCATACACCACCTCCTTTGCCTTGCTGGAAGACTCTGTGCAATCCATACAATATATGGAGAAACAGTCAGGCGGGATGGGAGGAGTAGTTGAGTTTCGGCTGAGCCACGTCTCTGGAAAACAAAATACGCAGCAATCCCTCCTGCCTGTTGATCAGCCTCACTCTTAGTACATCTAGTTTATTTTCCAGCAGTCAGACATTCGCCAAAAGAAGAGAGTTCACTAAAGCTCAACTAAAAAAATGATTAATTCTAATGATACACAACACCTTTGCTTAGGAGGAAGAAAACTGAATAAATTAGTAGGAATTTGCATATACAAGAGGTTGTTGCAAGGTAAATATTAATATTCAAGTGCTGTTCTATACAACATCATTCAGGGGAGCTTCACCAAAGAAACTTTAAAGTATTTCTAATGAACCATATTAAATTACCAAGAAGCCTGATTCTTTTCTTAAATGTCTACCTGGTTCATTTATCTTGGCTTCCTTTCTCTTTTTCTCCCCTTGTAGGAAGTTGAGTTGTGTCGCATGAACAGCCAGGAGAAACTGGGCCTGACCCTCTGCTATCGAACAGATGATGAGGAGGACATTGGGATCTATGTCAGTGAGGTGAGAAAAATATTTTAATGGTAATATATAAGGCTGCAATAACCTGGATGACAGATACTGACTTGGCAGTTCTAATTATCATTCTTATTTCTTCATTTTCTGTAATTATGCCAGCCTAGTGAATTTAAGCATTAATGTGAGATCACCTAACACTAAGAAAGTCAAAACAAAAAAAAGTATAAACGATTTTAAAAGATTTTAATTGAAATAAAGTTAAGTAAACATTAGGAACATTTCGAGAAACATTTTACTTTAGTCGCTTACAGGTGTTACAGAAGGTTAATTCTCCTAAAATATGCTTACCTAGACTTTAGTTTAGTCTGTAACAAATGCCTGTTAGAATTCTGTGTACAGTTTCAGTCTGGCTTCAGCCTGGACCAAAACGTGTTGTTCGATATTGCCCTTAAATCAAAACTCAAATTGATAATAGATGATAGCAAATATTCCACTTGTTATAGCTTATAACTAAAATATGACAAAAACATTAAAATTCAAGAAATTATTTTTGCTGAAAACTTTCATTATACATACAAGAGATATATGCTGTTATTAACATACTCAGAGTGAACAAAGAGATTACTGAGAGTTGTAACTTCTCATTTGTATCAAAGAGGTGGTGTTAAAAGGGACAATGAAAGCCAAACCTGCAAGAAAAATTAACTACAGGTGCTTAGTAACTGTAAACGTACAATCATTTTGAAAGAACAGTACAGCACATAATAAACTGTTGTAAGTACTGCTGTTCTAAAATAGCCGTGGCATTTAAAGAAAGATATTAGTTTCCCTTATTTATTACCACCACTCTTTAATTACTGATTCAGAGGCAGCACTGGGAGATGGGATGAAATAAACATTTGGAATTCCAGCCAGAGTAAATATTTAACAAAAACAATACTCTAACATTTTGGACAACTACTTGACATTTTGTATTTTAAAATTTTAGTTAGTAAGTTTACATAAAAAGGAAAACACATTGTGCCAAATACCTTACTGTTACAATAAAAATAAAAACACATTAAAAAACAAATGTGATTATACAAACGTAACAACAATAGTATATTTTAACACTGCCAACTAGTTTTACAGGTGCAGTATGTGATTTATTTTAGAATGAATCATTCATCCACAGTAAGGCATGTGTGCTTTTCCTCTTTATTTTTTTTATTGTAATTTTTAATTAATTCGGCACATACAGTAACTATTCTTGTGCTCTCTACGATGGAAAGGCAAAGGCAAACATTCAATATTTATGCTGCTGATTTCTATGCAAGGGCTTAACACTAGTCATGCAAATAGTAGAAATTTTGAATAATTCTCACATTAACAGTACAGAAAAGGCTAATTAAAGTATTGATATGAAGCCTAAATTTAGTACTATAGTAAAACAGTTAATAGTGCAAGAGTACAAGAAGAATTGTTAAGGTTGTTAAAAGAAAAAAAATAGTTGTTCAGTCTTTCTGTTTTTTTTTTTGTACATTGCTGGGAAAAAGTCTTGTACATTTTGCATTCTTCTACTCATCTTACTCTGTGTTTTTCTTTATGCACAAACATAAGCCTGTGGTGTTCTTCTACTTAATGTACTGTATAGTCATTTTAATGTAAGTTAAGAGTTAATTGTCATAGAACTACAGTACATTTTGTCATTCAAAAAGTAGAACAAAGAATGTCAATGATGAAAAACATGTGGATGAGTGTTAGATTTGATTATTAAATGTGATGCAGAGCCTACTACAACATTTTAAATTGGCTGTTCATGTTTATCTTGTGTAACATATTAGTATTGTAATAGGTTACAAAACGTGTCAGCTTGTCACTATCTTTTTTCTTCTTTTTCCTATTAACAAAATATATTGGAGCTCAGTTTATCTATTTTTATCCTAGTTTGTGAGAGATTATTTCCCTGGTTCAACTTTTTCCTTTGCTGATTGGCATCGATGAACATACAATATATTAAGAAATCTTCTGACAGTTTTGTGAAATGCCTGTTTACAAAACAATCTTGTAAAAAATGTATTCTAAAAATAATCACATTTGGTATCACAGATTATGAACTTCCTATTTGACACCACATACAGGGTATTGTCTTTAATGCCCACCATCTTTCTAACAAATTTCTTTAGCTTTTGACCTCAAGTTATGATGTTGTACAAAAGCTAATAATGCAAGTCAAGGCTAAGCAGTAGCCTATTGGTATTTATTTAGAACGTTGTCTTCTAGATTGTCCCTTATATCTTGCTAATGGGAATTAGGAAGCTTTAATCTGTCTTCTTTTGTACTATTACTGCAGAGATCAGCAGTTTCTTAAAATACAAGAATGTGCTTTCTTACACCTTAAAAACTGGCAAAAACTTGTCTTGTACAGAGTATAACATTGTTGCTTAAAGCTGAACTGGGTCAAACTTCGCTCCCAGATCCTATCACAAAACTGAAGGTAGTCCATCACTTTTAATGAGAAGAAGTCTGGTAAGGGTCAACACTAAATGAAAAATGAGACACTTGGAAATGTTTAACTTGAAAAATAGAGCTGAATTTGACAGAGTAAAATGAATGGTTAAAGACAACAATCAAGTGCAGGGTGATAGATAGCATTGGCCCTTTGCTCGCTGCATCATTAGTCAAAATGGAGCCTTTGAGACTTGGATAAAGTACAAGTTGTATCTGAAAAATGCATTTATGTTAAGCCTGACCAAACCACACCATATTTAGAAATACCACATGGGTAAAATGAAATAATGGGATCTTTCATGATTTTTATCCTAAGAGTTAAGTCACAATATATGCAAAAAAGTATTTAAAATCCACAACTGTGAATTTTGAAGTTGTTTATGACTTCTGTCATGAGTCATTTCTGGATATGAAATGTTACTGTATCGATTTATAATGAAAGATGGCAGTTATTACAACACACTGATATATATATATATTCACTGTAATCTTTTTCTCAAACATATGTTTTTATATTAACACACCAAATAAATGTCATCATTTATGTATTTTTAATATATGTAACACACCAAAATTCTTCTTATTTTCTTGTTCCATTTGATCAGTCATTTGGTTTTTAATGAACTTTCAGATTTTTTATTCATCTCTGTCACATAGACCTCCTTTTATTAAAAAACAGAAGGTATTTTAGGGAATCTAAATGCTGTAGTATAGAACATATCTAAGTATAGATTGAGTACATTGGCTCCATGTCTTTCCGGAATTCACATTCTATTAAATTAATAGATTGATTTGTCTAGGTGAATCACAGGACCTATTTCCTTCCCGGGTAGGTCATATAAATTGAATGATTTACTAACTAATTGATTGTTTTGCTGAAAATTGGATTGTATACTACTATCTTAGCATCATTGAAGGCACTTGTTATTAGTGGTTAAGTAATAACCTGCTTTACACTACTTATTTTCTTTTTCAAATAGGTTGGTCCAAACAGCATAGCTGCCATAGATGGTCGTATCAGAGAGGGGGATCGGATTTTACAGGTAGTATGGTTTTGTTGTTCTTGAAACTCATACAAAATATCAAGTAAGTTACAATTTAATATCGACAGGCTCCATACCACAAATAAGCACACTCTTATGTATCATATATTAAACTTTTAGAGAAAAAAAATTAAAATCCTTCATGAGCAAAATATGGAAATAAATACCTGTTTTCTATACAAACATAACGTGATGTTGATTTTTTATGATCGTGGGTTTAGTATCAAGTTAATCTCATATCTTTCACTTGGCCTTTATGAAATCTTTTTTGGCATTACTACCTGTAAATACATTTTGAGGGAGGAAGGTGGCAGCTTAGATTGCCCCGTATGACAGTTTTTCTGTCCATTTCAACTGTAAACCATACAATAAGCACAAAGTGATTAAACGTAGAAGCTATCAGTGGTGCCCTGTAAGTACTGTTTGGCGAGAGATAATAGAGAAGCTTTCTAATTGTCTCATGGCAAGTGTGCAGTATGACTGATTTCAGCTGTGGGGTTCCCAGTCCAGCATGCACCAGCGCTATTATCTCAGAGTGACAGTTCCATTACTCTGAACGGAAAAAGATGAACGCCACCTGTCAGCAGCCAGTTAATTGTGTTGCTAGATGTATGTTGCTAGGATGCAGGTTGGACATTTATGAACATAACCGCTTTCGCTGATGTCCACCATCCCTCAGCAGTCAATGCAGCCCCTTACTGTAAGCACATAATTGAGTGAAGGCACTTACCTCCAAAGGGGCTGAATGAACACATTTGTGCGACTTTCATTGTGCACACATTTACTGCAAATGAGCTGAAATTTGCCCTTATTGTGTTTTTGTGTGAGAGAGATGGAAATTAATGCTTCTGTTTCATTTGTGTGTAAGATAAATGGCTGTGATGTGCAGAATCGTGAGGAGGCAGTGGCATTGCTCTCAAGTGAGGACTGCAGAAACATTGTATTGCTGGTTGCCAGGCCAGACATACAGGTGAGAAAGATATTTTTTTACTCCTCTCATTATTTCATTTGATACAGTCTATATGTATAATACAACAATTCCTTTGAGTTCTCTTTTTTGCTACTTACTGATTATCAATAAATGAGTTGGTTATATTTTGTAACCTTTTTCATTGTTAACCACGGAATTGAATCAAATTAAATTGATTCAATTACTAAGCCAAACTACACCACCCTGTGATTAATTTACACTGGAGTTCTGCTCCAGTACCTCTAAATTTGAGACTGCTACGATCCGTAAGCACCTCCTTGTGAAAAACTTACCACGCACCTTTACAATTTAAAAACTATTTTAAAAAATAGTCACTGTTTTATCTCATACACTCCTCAATTACATTTAAACAAAATAATCCCTTCGTAACCACTATGTGCAAATACCTTAAAATAGACTTGAATGTAAAATAAACAAACCAGGATGCAAAGGCTCGCATTTCTACCAGTGTAGACTGTAGTATTGACTATAATGACTGTGTAAGAGTATTGGCAAATGGGCATCAGACATACATAGTTAAGTTGTGTATTGTAGATTAGATTTAATTGTGAATTTGGAATGCTGTTTGTGTAAAAATAGTGAAAAGGCAGTCAAATATATTGTTTTATTCAGTAAAATCCGGAATAATTTCTGAGATATCGAAACCAGTTTCAAAACAAACCAGAAATGAAGAAAGGCCAAAGTAGGACACAGGTGGAAGTTGTCAAAAACCAATAATTATGTGTTGTTGTTAGACAAGTTGTAATATTTCTATTAATGCTATTACTAATAATAGGAATTTCTGTAATATTATTATTAGTTGTACTATAAGTCCTAATATTGGTTTTTATCTATTGAATTAAATACGTGTACAAATGATCTATAATTACCTCCTGGAGGTACAGTAAGTCTATATACTGTAATTCATCATAAAGTCTGAATGGATGTTTTCTCCATGACTCTCTCTGTGTTTTTTAGAAATGTTTGAATAATAGAGTTCCTTTGTGCTTTTAATTTAAATATTTCAAAACAAAACTAGAAGTTATAATATGAATTCCAAATGATATCCGAGTATTTATGAATCTTTTGGACAGAAATAAAAAAGTTGAAGTCATTGAATAGATTTGAAATGTTTCCTTTCTGCAGAAATGTGGTGGGGTGGAGAGGGGTTAAAATTATATGATTATTTTAATAGCTGCATTTTATCATTTTTAACAGTATGTAGGACATTTATAATGACCTCTGGGAGCAAACGTTCTTTACATAAAGTTTTCATAGAGGATAACATACAAGTAAGGAAACACATGAATAATAATCTTGTGATGGTCCGAGGTTAACATCTATGGAAGTAGTCTCCATTGCACTTGCGTTGATTCTAAGACACTTTATTACAGTGCTTTGCTTCTAGTTGTGGTGTTAAAAAAGCAGCCAGATGTAATATTAAGACTCAAATATGACAAAATGAATTGATCTCAATTTGCAATATCAGGTTTATTGTTTTGAATCAAACAGGCCATATCTCCTTGACAAAATGCTTGACTTCTGCATATAACTTGTTTTTAAGTGAAAATGAATGCCATTCTTAAAGTGTTAAGAGAATGAGAGTATTAGTATCGTTTGTGACTGGAATTAAGTGCAAACATTTTGTTATGGTGCAAAACAGAATGCTTGGAATACAAAGTAGCCATTAAATCCATTTATGGCATACAACTTGTAGTATGGTATTACTTTAGATTGCTTCTCTTGTAGAAATTTTAGATTTTTCTGAAAATTACATTTAGACATCTGTGCCAAATTAAATTGGTCACAAAAAATAATGTTTTAATTAAACATTAAAAAAATGTCCTGTTAATCAATCCTACTGCAGAATGGGGGAGTGTGAGGCTTTATACAGACACAGTTGGACATACCACATTATTATTGATGCGTTTTAACAATTTTATGTATTTTTCAAGATGAAATGGTCACTTCAGATAAGCGATATAATTACTAACAAAAATATAGATATCATTACTAATACAACATCTCTGTTTATTATCATAATCCATGATGGTATTGAAAATGTGTTATTAAAACAAATGGCTGGAAATAATTTAGAAATATCTATGTGTATTTTCCTCATGGGTAATGCACACATTTCCCATTTAGAGTATCATATTAGTTCTCTGAACCACAAAATCTGAGACACGTGCCAGTTTGTCTCAGGATATCTTAATTAGTGAATGTTTAAAAGAATCCATTATTCTATCTTTACTGAAGTGAAGCTGCTTTTGCCTTAAAATGGCACCTGTCTAGGTCAAACCTAAAAAACCTCCAAAAAGCATAATCTTTGATGGGCAGTAAGTATACAGAACTGATTGTGAATAGATGTCCATTAATGTTGCCATATCTTTGTAGAGCACATAATGTACAGTATGTTAGACAGCTTTCGAGACAGATGGTCTTGATGTTGACAAGGGTATTGCTAGTTCAAGGATAGAAACATCACCGCTACTGAAACAAATGGAATTGCACTCTCTTTGTTGCAGCTGGATGAAGGATGGATTGATGATGAGCATACTGAATTTTTAGAAGAGCTGAAAATGGAGATGTTAGAAGACCAACATAAAGATATAGTGCAATATCCTTCCAATGAATTGCAGGAGGTAAGATTCATAGGACAAAGAAAAAAAAATCCTTTAAGAATTATTTTACCTTTTCTTCATCATGAAAACGTTGCTACCTAATATATTAAAATGCTTCATCTACAGCATAGTGAGTACTCCTACTGTTAAGCATATTGTATAGCTGAAAGAGTACTGGTGATAACATGGAAATAAATGGGGCAAAACATTCTGGAGTGTAAAAGTTAACCCCTCTACTGATCCTTGCATTGCCAAAATCCTTGCCAGAGTCTTTCATTTGGACACAAGAATTTCACTCATTCACAACAATGTCACTTCTTCCTTATGTCAGCTCAAGACAATTTAATTCTGGCACTTTTGACATTTAATCATTTTTGTTTGGAATTTGGTTAATTGTAATACTAGTAACAAAGGATATTTTTCCTTAATATGTTTCATAAGGTTTTAAGTAATTTGAAACAGAGATTGATATTAAGATAGTAAAGACTTTTCAAGTCCATGCATATTACAGTAGAAAATAAAGGACAGCTTTACAGTCTCTCACAATACTGAATTTATATTCCTCAGCCGAAAAAGACAGAGGAGGATGATGGCACAACAGACACCGCCACCACCTCCTCCAACAATCAGGAGAAGGACAGCGGAGTGGGTCGCACCGATGACAGTGTACGCAATGACGAGAGCTCTGAGCATGAGAACTTAGCAGATGTCCAGCAACAAGCTTCTGTCAAGGACAAACAAGAAATGGAACAGAGCCAGGACATGCTGGGTAGCAATGACATCCAGTGCATTGAGAGCTTTGCGTCTGGTGAGCACATTGACTCAGATTGTATCAGAGCACAAGAAGAAGACTGTGACAGATTCCGCCAGCTCCTGGAACTGAAGTGTAAAATCAGAAATAGTGGTGAGTATGACCTCTACTACAGTCGCAGCAGTACCATCGAATGCAGCCTGAAGGAGCAAGATGGTGTTGAAAGGGAGCTGCGCTTGCTCAATGAAGAACTTAGGAGCATTGAGCTTGAGTGCCAGAATATCATGCAAGCTCACAAACTCCAAAAAGCCAGAGATCAGTATTCTGGAATGTGGTCCGTTAAAGACGAAAGTTTTCACAACTTCAACACCAGCATGGACTTGCAGGGAAGTAAGTTGGCTGAAATTAATGAGCATCCTGAGAAATCAGACAAGGACAGCTCCAGCGCCTACAATACTGCTGAAAGCTGCCGTAGCACACCTTTGGCCATGGACCGCTCTCCTGATCATTCCCTGCAAAGAATGGTTAGCATTACCAACAGAAAAAATCTGAGGAGCTCTATGACAACATGCCAAATGACCTCTAGCCAGGGAAACAAAGGAGCATTTCTGGGCAAAGCCAAAACCTCTGGACAGAACAGCACCACTGAGTCAGATGAAATAGTACCTGATGACAAAAAGCGATCTGAGCAAGAGAGGATTGGCCTTCAGCAAATTCCATACTTGTCACCATGCCACAGCTCGCAGTACAGACACGCTAACATACCTGCACATGCCAGGCATTATCAGAGTTATATGCATCTCATTCAGCAGAGATCAGCAGTGGAGTATGCCCAGAGCCAGCTTAGCCTCGTTAGTATGTGCAAAGACTTGCAGAAATCTTCAGAGCCTAAAATGGAGTGGAAGGTGAAAATCCGTAGCGATGGAACAAGGTACATAACTAAGAGGCCAGTGAGAGACAAAATCCTGAAGGAACGTGCCTTAAAAATCAAAGAGGAGCGCAGCGGCATGACTACAGACGATGACATGATGAGCGAGATGAAGATGGGGAAGTACTGGAGCAAGGAGGAGAGGAAGCAGCATCTAGTGAGGGCAAAAGAGCAGCGACGGCGGCGGGAGTTCATGATGCGCAGCAGATTAGAGTGCCTCAAGGAGAGCCCCCAGAGTGGCAGCGAAGGGAAAAAAGAGATCAACATTATTGAACTCAGCCACAAAAAGATGATGAAAAAACGAAACAAGAAGATACTGGACAACTGGATGACAATCCAAGAGCTGATGACACATGGGGCCAAGTCACCAGAGGGCACAAAAGTACACAATGCCTTCTTGTCTGTTACTACTGTATAATATGGACATTATCCGGTGTGGTAAAATTTAATTGCCTCGTTCAATTTTTATGAATGGCAAATGGCATTTTTACGAAAAAATATTTTTCACAGTTTATAACCTGAAGACATTTTATAAACAATTTTTCAACTGGTTTTCATTGTTATTTTTTAAAAAATTTTCATGGTTCTTCTTTAGCTTTTCTCCTGTTCTTTGTTTCATGTATAGTTTTATATAAAGTTGCAAAATATATTTTCTTTCTAATTTTTCAGGTTATCCTTTACAATAAAAATCCATTGTAACTGCATTCCCGCAGTTCTTTCTCAATACAGTTTATTTTGATATTTATATACTGTGTCATTAAATAGTTTCTCAGACAATAGGTAATGTTGATTGCAGCTTGGGTCTATTTGAGGTTTCTAAGTGAGAATGTGTAGGACTTTAATCTCTTTTTACATCTTCCCAAATCAATCTTAAGGCCACTGAGGAATTGTACAACTCACTGTATATAAACTTTGCCTATGCTCGTTCCTTTAACGTTCTCATTTATCTGCAGTGATGCCTTTACACTTAATGTTATTATTTTTAATTATCAGTAAAGAATCCCCCAAAACCCAGGTGTGAGAGAACTATTCAGAGAAAACTTGCTGGAGGCGGGAAAAACAATGTACCATTCAAAAAGTCTGGAAAGACATTTTTTCTATATGCACATTACACTGTATTTCAGATACATTAAACACAACAAATTGACTGCATTAGAAGGATACCTTCAAAAATCAGAACAAAATAGCCACAATGCATGGACCTTAGGAGGCTGCTATAATAAGCAATTGCATTTTAAAAAGAGTGCAGACCCAGCCTAAAGCTTTAACATCTATATTAATTAACAATTTGTTATTATTTTTACTGAAATTACTGAAATGTATTGTAACCACCCATTTCCTTTAACTTTGTAACTAGCCTTAAAAGGTTTTCTTTGTAGTGTATGTTTTTTGACTTGTTAATATAATGCCAAATCGTACCCTGCATTATTGCCTATATTTTAAAACTAAAAGTAGAAATGGTAGTGAGTGTTATTACCTTTTCTGCTAAAGTTGTTTCATACACCTTTCCTAAAATGTTTTTTGGTAATGTATTGTAAATTAAAGCTGTACATTGAACCTGTATTTGTTCCAAGTAAAGTGTAGGTGGTCTTATTTACAGTAATATGTAGTAAGCAATTATTGTAGCCAGATAAATGTGGTAATTGTTATAATACAAAATAAATTATTGTTTATCTTCAAGAAAACAGAACAGCCATTCCATAATTCTTCCACAACCTGAGGCAATCAGATTGTGCTCTGTGTTGGCCTTGTTGTCCAATAACTTAGTTTTTGATACTCACTGTGTTAAAAAAAACAATGGAGCTATCTTCAGGAAAATTAACAAAATTAACAAAAAGTTATTCATTCATTGTTTGATATAATACAAAAAATATAAGTTACTAAAAAGCTGTGAAATTCTAACAGTTCTTTCTCTGCCTGAGCCAATGAAAAGGAAGATGTGCTTTACACAAATGTGTTATCATGACAGGGGCATACCACTTTGTTCTCACTGCATTTTTTTTTTGTGTCCATCACCACTAGGGGCAGTACAATTAAAGTAGCCAAGGACTGAATACAATTAGTACCAGATGTTCCCAACCTGTTTCAGGGGAGAACCTAATTTTGATATTGAATTTTAATGGGCTATTTTCAAGTATGTCAAGTCATGTTTATTCTTTAAAATTAACAACAGTAAATTCAAAACTCTAGAAGGATACCAAATAATAAGGAAGTTCATGTTTTTAAGAGTAACCTTTTTGTTAAGCTTTTAAAAAAATGCAATGTAAATATGTTTGGTTTCAAAATACACCTGTCAATCTGCAATGTACCGTATGCCTACACTGATTCTGTAGATTTGGTGTTGTCCTTTCAATTCTTCATATTGTCTTTCAAAGTATTCTACCACTTTAGATTCCAGTTAAGTGTGTTTTGATATTAGGTGCCAAATGATATTGAAAGATTTGATTTAAACACATTATATCATTACTAAATACTGTAAGTTGCCTCACACAGTGTATGGAAGCTTGGGTGCCTTCTTCTTGCCAAATGGCCTGAATTTTAAATTTAACGTAAAAAATCATATTTACAATTTATGCCTTTTGTTGCATCTGTTTCTTTTCTTCAAGTTCATAAACTCTTCCAGTGCACCTTTAATTTTCATTCTTGCTGTCCAATCCCTTATGTCAAAAAGATATCCAAAGAAACTGGGTTAAACCTGTTTACACTAAAATGAACTGAACTGAGAAAATGTGTCTTTAGCATTGTTTACATTACATTAGCACATTGTAGCGTGATAAGACCTAAGGAAACCGGATTGTTGCTGCTGGTGGGGTTGGTGGACGAGTAAGTGTCACAGTCCAATACCCTAGTATAGTTTCAAAAGACTATGCTGTAATAAATGCTGGTCATTAAAGATTCCCTGCCAGTGTTGAAAGAGTAAGTGTCACACCCAGTGACACTAGAGGGGGCTCTACTTCTCTCCTGTTCCTAGTTCCCTGAGATTATTCATGTCTTTCTGGTGTGTCTTGTTGTGTAGCCTATTTACTTCCTGCTTCTACTCTGCTCCTCGCTCAGCATTGAGGTTCGGATGTCCTGAAACCCACCTAGCACCAGGTCGTGGTGAGCATTCTGGCGCACTATGGCTGCCGTCGCATCATCCAGGTTGATGCTGCACATTGGTGGTGGTGGAGGGGAGTCCCCATTACCTGTAAAGCGCTTTGAGTGGAGTGTCCAGAAAAGCACTATATAAGTGTAAGCAATTATTATTATTATTATTATTATTATTAAATGATACAATGCATTGCATTACAGTCATGTTTGATGTAGAATGTGCTACTTCACTCTTTCACATAAGAATATTTTAACAAACACATTTTAATTTTAAAAACATGCCTAGGTAAATCAGTATGGTCATGTACAGTGATGGAGTAGTACCTCACGGCCTGCAAATGCTTCCTACATTCAGGCCAAGGCAAGCTGGATTGCTTTAAAATACTGGAAGGTTGTGGACTTACCTGTTGCAAAACATTTACACTATCACAGCAGCAGGCCAGAGAAAAACAAAAAGCAAAATTGTACTTCTAAATATTATTGGTTATTTTGGTAGATGGAAACTGCAGCTAACTTACACCCAACTATGCTATAGAACAAAATCATACACAAGGTCGGGGCCAAAAATATAGGAAGGACTAGTCAAATAGCTGCTGACTTTCTTCCATTTATACATACATTTCAATATTTTTCTACACAATTATGTTTAGATAAAATATATTTGTGGAAATATGAAAGGGAAGAAGTGCTATTTCTTTGATAATGTTATTTTAATAATATCTATGTAAGGGAGCAGCACACAACTTGTATTCTGCGTTGCTAATGTATTGGAAATCAACCTTGTTGATTTAGATTTTAATTAATCCCTTTGACATCATGCTAAATTTCTTATACATTGTTCTCAGTATGATTGCTTTAATAGCATCTGACTCTGTCATTTCTTACTTTTGAGGCTGCACAGCAATGAAGGCTTCATAGGTATTCTGTTAGATCAGCACAGGAGGTATTATTGTTAGATCTCCAGCATATAAACATCATATTTCATCTTACTCTCCTCACTCCAAAATGTGCAGTTTGGAGATCCAATAGATAGTAGAGAGTTATTACCGTGAACATGGGTAGTTCGTGGTCTGGAAGCCTGGATTTATAACATGGAGCTGGTGGTTTGTGGGAACGAGGACTTGTCTTCCTACTGTACTTTCTATACTGTATGAACTCCAGATGACGAAATTACTCAGGACCTGTACCTTTCTGAAGTTATCTGATTTACAGTAGTAATCAAAACTATGGGCATATGTAACATTCCAAGGGATGTTAATCCATTTTTGTAAGAAAAAGATACCATAACTCGCAATGACCAATTTCATTAGAATTGTTTGAGGCATACAGAATTAAAGTGAACTAGAAAACCGTTCCATGGTTTAATTTATATCTCGGTAATTCTTAATGGTAAATTTATCTGTTCTCTCTGTTCCACATTAACTTGTTAAATGAGTCTTAATCATACATAAGCAGAAGGAGATTTCAATTAAAATTACCTTACACTTGAGTGGCTTTAGTTCATTAAAATATATCTCCCTCTAAATCATTTCAATGGACTCATGTGTGGAAGAACTATTTAAATATTCCAATTTCCATTTTTCTTTAGATACACATGCATTGAAATCTGAAATACACATAAATTAGAACGTTGCGCACTACAGCTCTGAGAATTCATTCATTCAGGTGTAGGACTCTCAGCTAATTGAAATAGTTCCCTATGTAGTGTTGTAAAGTTTCAGCCTATTTTACTCTTTTGGAAATGTAAGAATTAAACGTATCTACTGAACTCTTCCAAAAATACAAATATTGTTTTGTATTTTGTTTTCTTAGATCTATACATCAATGTATACCCTAGTCCTTCAACAGTTTGTAGATCTTTTAAAGCTCAGATTTAACTTACAATGCTCATGCTGAAACTTCCAAAAGCTTCCTGACCAAAACTGTCAGCTTTTTAAATCTCATTTTCTTATGACCATGTGGACATTCCCATGTAATGACAGTACACAGTCATGTACTGTATCACCTTTAGCAATTAACTCATCATATTAAATGAAATAGCATTTTGTGTTTCTGTATCTTACCCCATCATAACAGTATGGTAAACATTTTGGTAAAGTTTGGTAAAATAAACATTCATCCCTCTTACAATAGTGGTTCTACTCCAACAAAATGAAAACATGCTAGATATATATGCTATATATATTTTATATGGAATACTAAAACAGTGTCCCAAAATATTTTGGTCTTGAAATAAATAACCCTTAATTCTATACCAGTAAAATCCTTAAAAGAATACTATGCCTCCCCTGTAAGAATAAAGAATTCACCAAAATGTTGCAAAATTTAAAAAAGATGCTGATGCTACAGATGAATAAAGGCTTTTTCAATGTGTTAAAACATTAAATGTTGTTAGCAGAATTTTTAAGCTCTGTGACATTGATATAAACTGTGCAGTTTCACTGAAAATCTTTGACACAATATTGAAAAAATCAATGTGATATGACAACAGCCAATCTCACACAGACTTAATTTAATTTCTTCTGATATATACATTACCTGCAGATAAAGACAGTGTTCCTTGTTTTTACACAGATGTTCCGCACACTGTACATATCCATGCACAAACCAGGTATGCATTCTTGCTGACCCACAATCACATCCTGCTCAGCTCATTTGTTATTTTTTATTGTCTATATGGAGACCATTAAAATGCCAGCTAAATGCTGTTGGAACTCCTTAGGTTATTCCAACTGGCAAGGTCTACAAGCAGCAGCCTTTGCACTAACTAATTAAGTTCTGTATGCAGCCTGTGAAAGCCTCAGTCAGGTATAATTAAAACTGTGCAGATGACAGCAGTGACATTTGTCAAATTCATCCAGTGGTTCAAATACCAGTCCTGACAGAAATGTCAAACTGATAGCATACCCATCTTTTCTGTTCATGGTAGCAAAGCAGGCGGAAGTTCTATTATAAATGCTTCCTGATAACCTTTATGATTCCCTGAACACCACAAACTACACATTTAATTTCATTATTCTGGAAAGGAGTTCAGTTTATGGATGCTTGGTTTCCATAAAACTAACAAGATGCTACATATCTGAAAGCTACTCAATGTTTCTTTCAGGGTCTTTTCCATTTAAATAGAGGGATAACATGAATATTTCCTGAGGATGCTTTGCCTCTCAGTGCAGTTCAGAACTTTAATCCTTGATATCAGAGATCAACTTTCCTGTAATCATCCTTAATAGTTAGAATTAAGGACATATATTAAACTGCTTCACAATGTTTGGGCTCTGAAGCTACATTTCAGACAATTACTCCTTATTCTTCTGTCTTGGAATAGGTCAGCCCACCAATGGCTTTTTCAATACTACACTATTACAAAATGGAAAGATTAGAACCATTCATATGCAAAAACAAAGAACTCTGCATTCAAAGTTTGCACTTAAATAAATTGCTTTCCATGGTGATTTAAGCCCATTAGTTATTTTTAAAATAAAATGTATTGTAATTGGATGTTTCTACACAATATTGAGTGTTATGACATTTCAGCTAATGTTTCTTTTTGTACCCACGTATTTAACTGAATGATTCTAGCTTGCCATAAAATATATTTTATAAAATTTAACAGGGGTTGTTAAAATCCATTTATTTTATAGATTTTTTTGTTTCAGACA